ATCCCCAGTCGCTGAAGGCATCGCTGTAGTCGGACGCATCGGACTCCCATTCTGATATTTCATCGCCCGCTTCGTTTCCCCTCTCCTCCTGCTCCTCCTCCTCCTCCCCCTCCCCCTCCTCTCCGCCCTCCTCCTTCGCCTCTGCCCCTGTCGAACCATCCGGCGTGGCTGCCTGCTAACTAGCCTGCTGACAAGCGGCTGCCTGTTCGGCTGCCTGCTGACTAGCGGCTGCCCGTGCGGCTGCCTGCTGAGTAGCNCTAGCCTGCTGACAAGCGGCTGCCTGTTCGGCTGCCTGCTGACTAGCGGCTGCCCGTGCGGCTGCCTGCTGAGTAGCGGCTGCCTGTGCGGCTGCCTGCTGACTAGCGGCTCTTGCCGCCAAAAGCGAACGCAGGGCTCCGGCTACGATGGCAGATGTTGCAGGAAAGGCAGGGGCAGCAGGAACGGAAGATGCACCAGGAACGGAAGGGGTGGCAGGGACAGTGGACGCAGCAGGAACGCTGGATGAAGCAGCAGCGATCCGAGCCTGCTGTTCCGACGCTCGAATCACGGAAGCAGGTAGCCCTGCACGCGCATGCCAGCGAGCATTTTCTTCCTGCTTTTCGACAGCCGCACCTCACGCAGAGACTCTTCTTATTTGGGGGCGGTTTGCAACCACATTTCTCCGTTTGCGTCTTGTTGTCGGTGCCCACGTAAGAATATTCAGACAGCCATAGCACGCAGTTTTCCGCTGTCATGTGCCCCGGGCTTCCCCCCCCCCCTTTCGGGTCGATCCCCCACCCCATACCGTTGAAGTCTCGTACTGGCACCACCTCCAAACAGCCATCCTGCCAGTACCCAAGCACCTGATGGCCTCGCTCGCTCTGCTGGCGCATGGACTCGAACGCAGGGCACGTTGCTGTAGCCCTATTTGAACCACGCCTGAGGATAAGCAACCGGATGACTTCGACGTAATGCGCGACATCGTCGTTGACCATGCGAAGAATCCAGCCGGGCTCCTGGCCACCACGAGCAAAGGCAGCTGCATGCTTTAAGTAGAAAATGGTCGCCAACAACTTGATGCACTCGTCGATCTTGACGCCCCATACACCACCCTCCGTCCGCACGCTCTTCAGAGCAAGAGCCTACATGGTCCCGAAAGCCAGACCCGATATGGCAGGCAGGAAGTCGTAACCAGCAAGCAGGTAGACAAGGATAAAAAGGCGTACCTTCTCGTCGTCGTCGGGAATCCAACCCTGGAAACCGGAGTCAGTCGTGGGCCACGCAGATTCGTTGCCGTCCCTGAGGCCACTGATGGCGGCGAACACCCTGTTTACCCAAATGTACTTCGGGGCACCACCCACAACCTTCTGCACGGTCACTTCGACCGCTCCCTTTCCACTGGCCTTGAGGAACCCCGTATTCATCGCCAGCAACATGATCATCCAGTGGTCTGTGTCCACCGAAGTAACCAGCCAGTTTTCGAAATTCAGCCCCCAATACTTCTTGGCCCACACGATGAAGTGGACGAGAGGCAGCTCGGCCTCGCCGATTTTTGGGCCACGTTCTCGTTGTACCGAANCCTCGGTCCCGTCCCCACCAGAGTGGATGGTGCTACTTTCGACGCCATCGACCGGCACCGGTACCTCTGGTGATGTGGACGGTCCTCCCGGTACGCCCCCCCCGGAGCTGACCGCGGGGTCAGCGGCATGAGGTGTTTTCAACCCAGCCTCGCCCCCGACACTGTAAAATGCCACAATTCCTCTGGGCGTGCAGTCTCCGGTCCACCTCTTGTCGTCTAGTATATCCATGGCGAGGTGCGCGGCGAAACCATCTCGAGCTGCCTTCTGGTTGTCACGAAGCCATGATTGGTACTGCGACTGGGGTATTGGGTCCATCGATGTCGGGTCGAAAGAGAGAGTGCACCCCCCAATCTTGTCCGTCCTTCCCGACTGCTCGCGCCCTTTGATTGCCGGGACAAGTTGCGCACGGTCGTAGCACACCAGGAGCAGATCCGCTTCCATACGCCACCTCGAGTCCAACTCGCTTACGAAGTAGTTGATCACCCCATGTGCCCCACCCTCCAAGTCCCGTTGCCTCACCCCTTGATGTATTGACACAGGCAGGTCCACGCCGTGGGCACACGCGGTGTAGAACGGCTCGTCGGCGACGGCGTTGGAGCTGTGATCTTGGAGCCATTTCGTCGGGCCTGCGGATTTGTTGGCATGCTTAGCCCCTGTAACGTTATTTGACCAACGGCCGTGATGGACATGGGCAAGGGGTTGGTGGAGGTGGGGGAGAAAGGGAAAGCGTTGGCGACGTTTGGGGTTGGTGCGTGGCTTCGCAAGATTGTGAGTTGTTGTCTTCACAGATAAAAAAATAATCCAGACTCTGATGAGTCCCTCCTAATATCCCTGTACGTCATACCACGGTAGTTCGCAAAAAATAGAAAGAAACTTACAACCGCTGTGCAGGGACGCATACGTATGATTCACGCGACGGAAACAATTTCAGTTGCAGGCAACGTACTATCACCGTTCCGATAGTCCAGAAAACCGACAACGCTCAACCCGCGCCGATAGATTAGGCACTACCATACACGAAACCACTTTGTAGCCGTCAACTTTCCACCATGGCAACGATTTGCCGTTAGCGATTCGCCGGTCATCTGTTTCTATGTTATAATTCATTGAGTGCCCTCGTTTCTAACCCTAGTCCCTCCCTTCAACCCGCCCCCTACTCTACCCCACAATCATGGATGTATTGATCTCCCCTCACCTCCGGTAGCATTTGCCATGCAAAACAGCGTCGATGCTCCAATCTTCGTCGCCATGTCCACCACTTGCTCCTCGGTCAACGACTCCCTCCCTACGACAGCGTCAAACACGTTCAGGACCATCGCCTTCATCTCTTGCCCCCCCCGCGTATGCGTTGCCAACTGTATCCTTCAGCTTCGACGACCTCCCTTTGCTCCTCGTCGACTTGTTCTCTGTGTTCAAAGCAGGGATCGAGAATATCTTCTTTTTGGTCGCTCCCTTCTTGATCTTGTCCTTCTTGACGAAGTACAGCACGAAGTCCCGCATCGTCTCTAAAGCCGTTGCCGGGGCACCTAGAACCTCTTGCCACTTTGCCTCTGGAAACACCCTCCAGTCCAAGGCCACGACCTTCGCCTTGCCTAAGTCGCCCTGAAGTTAAGGGCTTGCCTAAGTCGAGCCAAATAACGTCCGGTCTTAACCGTCGCCTGACGCTTCTTCCCTGATCTTCGCCCCGAACCTTTCAACCTCGCGCCAGAATCTTGCGCCGGGCGCTTCGCTCTACTTGCCCGAGGTGTCTGTACTGCCCCCCCAGCGTTGTCGCGACGTAGCGTTCCCTCTTCGTTGCCTATCGTAGTAGCTGGAGATGATGGGTTCTCCGTCTGCTGGCCAGCGGCCGGATGGCGCGGGGACACGGGCGGTGTATAACCACCCAGTCCCGGGGAGAGCAGCACTGGGGGGTGCGGGAAACCCAGTCTTCTGTCCCGGGTAGCCATGGAGCTGCGTGATTGCACACGAGCGTGATACCACCCTGAAAGCGAGGATGGGTATCGTCACACAAAAGGAACGACCATAAGCTAGGGGTCAGTCTTCAAGTTTGTTAAGCAGCGGTACTGTTCTTCGCGGTACCACCTCGAACTGTCGGTGGCAGTTTCCAGATCAACGCGTCCAACTTAATACTGTAGTTTTCTTTTGACATGTGGCCATCACGAACGGGTACCGCCCCGAAATCACAAAACCACCCTGAAAGCGAGGTTATACGTTAGGGGTCAGTCTCCAAGTTTGTAACGCAGCGGTACTCTTGTTCGCGGTACCACCTCGAACTGTCGGTGGCAGTTTCCAGATGAACGCGTCCAACATTATAGTTTTCTTTGGACATGTGGCCAGCACGAACGGGTACTGCCCCGAAATCACATGTAACGTGGGTCCAAGTACAAGACATAAACATTGAAGTTGGAAGGTTGGATCTCGATTCAATAGCATACTACGTGCACCTTGTTTTGGCCTGCTTTCGAAGGGCTGTGACACCAGGTTGTGCACGTGCCTGCGGCCGATTACCAACAGCGCGGAGGATCTATAGCGGCATATTATTTAGGTTTGACCTCGTCATGCCTGCGTGTCTTACACAAATGAAGTTAACCCTTTTTCAATAGGTGAGCATGCGAGCTGCATGACAATCAATCAAGGTTTAGTTGTGTCGTGCCAGCCTGATGTAGATGCACCCGTGCGGCTTCACACACACACGCGTGCCCGTGGGCGCTGACCACCACAGTAACCCTCCACCAACACTTTGAATGTTGACCTCGTATTTCTTTTTTGACTCTGTACCAAACGGAGTAATTCCTTTTGAAATAGGTTAAGGGTTTGTCTATTTACGCCACCGGTGGCGCAATTTCTTATATGCGCCACCGCTCTTATCTCCGCCCACAGAGCTTCAATTGGCACAAACTGACTTGGGTTGTGTAGCAATGACCCACAGCAATCATAGAAGCCATCTGGAACGTGCATCCGACCAGTAGATGCCGAGATATACCCTCCCACGGGGGTACGATGCCACCGTAGGGCGGTGGCGCATATAAGCTTATATGCGCCACCGCCCGTATCTCAGCCCACAGACCATCAATTGGCACAAACTGACTTGGGTTGTGTAGCAATGACCCACAGCAATCATAGAAGCCATCTGGAACGTGCATCCGACCAGTAGATGCCGAGATATGCCCTCCCACGGAGGTACAGTGCCACCGCCCGGATCTCAGCCCACAGAGCTTCAATTGGCACAAACTGACT